AGGTCTCAGTACATACTACAGGCCTAGGTAGTAGGGCCTAGCTAGGCCCGTACCGCGCCTAAGCTTGGCCTAGGATTAACATTGACCTTGTGCAAATCCACCTCGCTTCGGATTTTTATAAGACTTCGATTAGAAGACCAACATGATTAAGAGATCAAGAAATCTGGCCAATAATAGATAGGCCTAGGCCTAATGTTTGTATTTTTTTCTTAATTTTTTTTTACGGCTGAATTGTAGGCCTCTCTATGTTTCTGGCCTACTATAGCTTCTGTACTCACAGCTATTGTACAGTTCCTAATAAAATTAAGCATATTTTAATCGATGTCCTACCATTACTGAGGTTAGGGTAGGGTACTGCTGCCTATTTTATTATTTTTCTTGAAAATTACTATTAAAAAAATTAACTAGATTTGAACTCATCACTGAGGACGAATTAGGTGATCCGCCGGACTTTGACCCACGAGGAAGTGTGCACGGTGCGGATTGAACAATATTTAAATGCTGATAATGGCAAAATACGGAAATTTAGTTTGTTAAAAAAGAATTTGGAGCATTTTAAAAGATTTACTCATGCGTACGCGCACGTCATGACTCACATGCGCATCTTAATGTCACTGTTGTCTCCTGATATGAGATATATATGTATCAACTTTCATTGACAAACGCCTGTTGGTGAAGGAGTAATGATCATTCATAGTATTTATCATATATAAAAATTCAGTTTTTTGAATTCAGATGGCAATACGGTGACGTCACAATGTCCGATCAGCTATTATGATATATAAAATCATATCTACAGCTCATGTGATTTCAGAATATGTAATAAAAGTTGGGGTCACCTTTCATCCTAATGAGCTATAACTGATTTAAAAAAAGACATGATATGTTATTACGCGCGCACAAAAATATTATGTACATTATAACATTTAACCATGACCGGAAGTTTATATCCACTTAATATGATTCAGAAATCACGACTGATTAAGGTGATTATGGGGTCATCAAAGGCTTGACGAAAGAAAATGAGGGGGAGAAGCAAAACCCTATAATTTGACCATGATGCCGTCATCAAAATGTAAAAAAATGTCACATATATGAAAGAGAATTGCCTCAGCTACAACATACTCAAAGTTGGAAGACAATCGATCAAGAATAAGCGAGATACGCTCAAATGCGCATTTGTTAAAATGAGGTCATCGATAATATTCAGTTTGTTGAATTCAGATGGCAATATGATGACGTCATAATGTCCGATCAGCCATTATGACCTATAAATTTATATTAACAACTTATGTGCTTTCAGAATATGTAATAAAAATTGGGGGTCACCTTTCATCCTAAAGAGCTGTAACTGTTTAAAATTAGGCCTGATTTCAGCAAAATTTCACTGTATATCGGCACAAATGCGCACAAAGTTAACTATGTTTGATGCGTGCGTACGGCATTGTTATTGGCCATAGAGTGATTGAAAAGATTGGAAACTTGTCAAAACAATGTCAGGAACCCAAAATGTGACAAAAAAAAATATTTTCTAGCTTCCATACGTGCTGCATGCGTAAAAATGTGTACACGTAGTGGTAAATTTAAAAAAACTGTGAAATGCTCAAAATGGCCTGAAACGTGCTCTAATTTAATCTAAATGTGATTTTGAGCATTTTAAAATTTTGACGCACGCGTACGCGCCCGTTATGACGCGCACCTGTAAAATTAGGGTAAATTACATTTAACATTGACTTGAAGTTAATGGTCACTTAATACGATTTTGAAATGGAATTTGTTTAGGCTGATATGATCAATAATGAAAAAAAACTCAAAAATGCGCGTAGATGACGTCACGCATAACTGCGCACTTTGAAATAGGAAAAAAATAAAGAAGATCTCTGACAATAACAATAGGTGATCCGCTAGCGGAGCGGATCACCAATAACATTATGTTTGTAGTACAGTATTCATTACTAATAAGAATAAAACTGAATAAAACATTTTAATCCCATATCAAATTGGTCATAGTAGAAAATACTTGAATAATTGGTGTTAAGCTGGCAGAAGGAAGGAACACAAAAGAGCTTATGGAACGTCTAGGTCTAAGTGAAACAATTGTGGAGGTTGTTATGAGGAGTTGCTTGAGATGCATGGGTCATGTGCTAAGAAAAGACAAAGGTGATCCAGTAAAGAGAGCCTGGCATCTAGAAGTTGAAGGTAGAAGAGTAAGGAGGCGGCCAAAGGTGACGTGGAAAGATATGGTGAAGAAAGAAAGTGACGATAGTGAAAGTGTGCATAACACTAGCACCAACGACAGTGACAGTGACAACTTTCTTATAATTAGACAGAGAAGGTCTCAAGGATAAAGAATATATATACTTTTGTATATTTTTGAAAGCCAATTAAAAACTTTTAACGCTTTTTCTATATATCTCCTATTTTCCCCAAATTTCCTGCATTTTATTCCGTCCAGATATGGGAAATATCATCTCCAGTGATGATGAGTCTTGGGTGTTTTTGTATGCACTGAATTGAGAGAGGTGACTGTTGTACAGTAGCACGGTAAACCTTTTTTTCGGGTGCAAAAAGTACAAACAACAAGCATTCACACCAAGTTCTACAAATGCAGCATTTATTCATAAATATTTCTTCATAATTTCAACATTCTGTAATAAATGCAAACAATTCTTTTCCAACAAATATGATAATATCAAACTATGAAAGTAGAAGTCTGCATTTTTTTTTTAATTTTTGAAAAATTTAGGCCGCTTGCCCACCTCCTCAACACATTGAATCCACCACTGTTTATTTATATAACAATATTTTACAATATTGGAAGTAAACCAAAACTATATATTATTTTGATAAATTTGAAGAAAGAGAGATGAGAAGGCTCCAAAAATTCATTCTTTTTGATCATGATGACGTCTTCAAAATGAAAAATAAAGGGACACTACCGAAAGGGAATTGTCTCAGCTATAACATACTCACAGGTAAGAGAGGGCATGTCCCATTTGATATGCAACACAATTATTATTATTATTATTATTTTTATTAAATTATTGTTAATTTGTGGTTGAATGAATATAAAAACAAGTAATATTAGGCAAGGCTGCAGTTGACAAGCATAATTCGTTTATTCTTTTCACTCTTTTATGATGTATAAATTTTTTTTCTTTCAGCTTTTAAAGCTTTGAAACCAAGCCTTATTATGTCAAATGGAATTGATGTTTGACCTAATGATGGGATTTAATTTACCAACCTTGGATTAAAACTTACCTTTTTAGTAAATGCAGTCAACTGTAGACTGTTTAGTTTAATTACTGTGTGAAGAGAATGATCTACAGTATGCTTCAATAACAGATAGTGAATTAAAGTCTAAAATTGCTTTGTAAAAATGTTCTGCTGGTCAAGATTTACTGTATGTTATTTATTCATTATATACTGTACAGTGTCCTGTAATCCCAGTATTTTTAGGGAAATCCAGCATTGTTTTTACGATCATGGATTTAGTTAGAAGAAAGGGGGAAGCAATTGGTAGTACTAGGTATAAATAGGAGATACTGTATGTCATTCACAGAAAAAAAAAGAATTATGGTATTGCAACAATTGCGACAAAATTGCAACATTTAAACACCATTAAATTCCCTCTAAAGATCATAATTTTCTATTTTTTCCCTTATGTTTTGGAGGGGCATGACCCGAGTGGGCGTGGCCTGCCCATCCGCTCAGGGCCACGTCCACTGGCTTCCAACTCCCTGGCCTACCTTAACTGAATTAGGAATCCTGTTTCTTCTACAATACGGATATTTCCCATTATTTGATAATTAACTACAATCTCTTATAAAACAGTTCAATATTGTTAGTTCTTCCGTGTTACGATTACGAAGTCGTGTGCCATGCCACATGTGAAAATGTGTGCTGGGGCTATTGACACTGCTGTATAGTGCAAAAAAAAAAAGCTGCTGTTTTCTACGTTGAAAAGCTGCTGTTTTATGATTTAATTATCAAAATGGATGTTTTGATCAAGATAACATTATTGTATCAATAATTTATTAGGTCTAGCCAATAAAAAAAATGAAAAGATTGTTTTATTGATGACAATATTGATTGGAAGTCATGATGGTTTTTATAAAATATGTATAAAATGAAGGACAAAAAAAATTAGCCCAGTTCACTTACAAGGTCTTACACAGGATTTTGCCAACTAATAAAAGATTACATATATGGAAACTAAAAGATACTGACAAATGTTATAAATGTAAAGAAAACGTTGAAGATGAAAACCACATGCTTTTCAATTGTAGGCCTACGTTTATCAAAAAACCTTTTTGGATGAAAGTTAAAAATACATTAAGAGGTATTGGGCAAGAAGATATATCCTTTAAGCAACTAGTTCTTGGAACAGAAAATGTAATCGTAGATTATATTTACACTGCTGCAGCTTTTACTATTTACAAATAAAAAATTCTATGTGAATTAAAAAAGTTAAGATTTACTGATCTATGGAGTGCCTTTAAACATCACATCATGTTCAGAATTTAATTTATCGACAGAGTAAAAGGTTACCATGGAAAAAACATACTTTGTAAAAAAAAGGCTTTAATTTCGACAAAAGTATTATACATGTATATATTAGTTACCCGTATTTCATTTGAAATTTAATATAGATTAAAGATGGAAAATGAATGAAAACAATGAAAAAAGAGTGACAATAAAAATGGGTGACTCCCACGAAAGACAAAAAATAAAGGTCTAGCCTGTATACAGATACAGAAAACTTTATTTCATCCTTCACAGGAAATTCACATATCTATATATGTATTTATATTTATGTTTATATATTATTGTTATTGTTCATTGAAGACCAAGCTGCTAAAGACCATAAAATCCCTGGAACCTTAAGTGGTTTTTAATTGCTGTACTTTGTTTATGTACATTCTTTTGGACCCTGATTGAAACAAAGAAATTGTTTTCTTATTTTATAGATACTGCATGTTATAAAAATTCTATCACCAGATTATATGTGCTGACTTATAAAGAATCAACATGGATTCCAGCCAAGGTAACAATTAACATAAAATTTTCTTTTTTCTTTTTTTTTTTGGTTGTAAATGTTTGGTGATAAATATGTAAATTTAATCTGTATTAAGTAACGTTTTCTTTTTTGTTTTGTACGTCTTTGTCACCTCAAACTTTTTTGTTTTGTTTTTGTTTAATAATAATAATACCTAATAATAATAATAATAATAATAATAATTTTTATTTGGCATTCAAGATATATATCATTCGTCAGGAAAGAGAATAGGCAATTGGTCTGAACAAAACGATTTCCTAGCTAACAATATTACGTTATAATAACGTTACAGTTTGGTAATAAAAACATTATTTTATAGAACCATATGTATGTACTTATAACCTAATTTCACAAAGTCAAAACTTTTGAACGTTCTTACAACGTTGTGTGAACGTTATTTTGTTACATATCAACTATTCGCGAATGTTATACAGTAAGAACTTTTTTGTGTTTGCTGGGTTCTTTAATTCACTATACAAATACAAACCTTAAACCATAGGGCAAAGAATCTATGTTTAAAAAGGTCATAAATAAACGGTAAATAAAAGTAAGGAAATAAAAACAGTTAATAAATGGAAATCAGACAAAAACCACCCAGGGCAATAACCACCTGGACATAAACCACCCAAAATGGACTTTACCATTGTTAAAGTGTGATGAGCTGTGGGATAGACAATGTTGGGTGGGCTTGTTTTTACAGTATCTAGCTTTACAAGCGTTAGACGTACAAGTCCTTTACAGTATGCTGACCATTCTATACCCGACTGGTCGGGTGAAGTCAAAATAGTGTTTGACATGTTAATGAAGAGTTATGACCCATTAAACAACTGATCATCCTTGAATGACACATGGTCATTGTGAAGGCTGCTTTACAGTATGCTGCTTTACAGTATGGGTGCGTTCGAGCCATACACGCCTATTAAATTCCGTGTATATGACAGGTAAACGCACGGCTTTACACCATGGGGGGTCCCCGCATTCGAGCACAAACTTATCTTGTCTAACTGTGTAAAAATTTACCTCGGAAATACTCGTTTGAGGTCAGCGAGGCAATAGTATATCCCATCATGCCACGCAATATTTACGTTTCTAACCACGCTTCACGCACTTGTACTGTACTCCCTGCGCAAATACTTCAGTTTATTAGTGACCTGTGTCACCGTCAGCTTTCCCCTGAATTTTTCTTCAATCTTTGCAGTTATTTCTTTGTAAATACCGCTGTTTCGGCGGGTGCCGTCCAGTTGTCTTTGTATTCTGTCTCCCCCCACAATGAGAGAAGGTAACGTATCATAGGTTCGGTCCACACAGACATGTTGAAATGATGAAGATGATGCTATAACATTAACAACAGGTCTGCGAATGCATTTGTTTTTGTAAAACTGGACAGGCCTATGGTATGAATTGAATTCATGTTGACCGCCAGACAGTAGAGTCATTAAAACATGATTAATGGTCGCGATAATGGCCTTTGACAGCGATACACGGTTCTATAACCCTAAATTTGGTGGTCAAAATAGGCGAGCGTNGTCAAAATAGGCGAGCGTGTTCCAGATGTTTTTTACATCTTACCCCCGTTCGAGCCACGCACGGCATTTAACTTCCGTGTAAATACACGGACCTCGCACGGATATTTTTCTGGCTCGAACGCACCCTATGAAAGCTCCATGGTGTAATAAATCATTTTATTACTTAACTGTCATTGACTGTTTACACAGTGTAATTAAGAAGGTCACACACTGCAAAAAACATTGGGGCTACGGTCACACTAGAGTCTCAAACCTGGCTTGACTCACCGTGGGTGAGATATTCGTAATGTGACCGCAACTGGATCGACTCGCGCCTGGCGTGACCTCGATCTCAATCTACCTATCTCGATCCCGGATCAGTACCCAGATTGACCCTGGATTGACCCTGGCGATGCAAGTTAATGAGAAATCCAGTGAAGGTCGCATCAAATTTTATCATATGTCTACACGAGAGTTATAGCGGATAGTTATAGCATTTTAACACTGATATAAAAAAAAGTTGAAAATTAAAATTATTTGTATTGATCTCATGATGATGTTTTATTAAAATGATAACGACAAAACAGAAATTACATTCGGCGAGGGCCTGTCTGGGCTAGGCCTGCTTTGAATTTGGTAGGCATTAGGCCATCCCAACTATCGACAAATAAAAGGCAAAATATGTTTAACATCCAATTTTTTCATCTTCACTTGGTAAAGCATTCCGAAAAAGCGAAATAAAACTCTTTGAGTTTTTTTTCTCACCTACCCTAAGCCTACCTATTAACATTTAGGAGATTTTCAGCAGGATTTATAATCTGAGCCTCCAAATGTAGTATGAGATTATGAACGTTTGTTTGTGGTTCTTCTTGCTAGAATGTGTGAATTGCAGTGGCTTTAGAAAAGGCTACCGTATTAGCTGTAATTTCAGAATTATGTACGTACAGTATCTCACTGGCGTTCACTGTATCTTGTTCAGCTGTATCTTTAGACACAGCGAACGTACTACCACAGTAATTTGCGGATTTCCCCAAAAAAGACATGAAAATTTACATGAAGTTTACAAGGAATGGTAATAATATAAATTTGTCCTGTAATGTTTTATTTAGATTACTTTTGACAATTATGAAGTTAAAAACAACTCAAAAAGGTAATTTTAAAGATGCTTTGATATTATGAACCAACTAGGCCTAGTAGAATTGCCTCAAAAATGAGACCATGGTCAAGCTACAGATTGCAATCAACATGTGGCAAGTCAATTAACAGAAAGATCTATCAGATGAGAGCCTTGCCATGTCTGGTAATTTGTCGGTGTTAGCTTAAAGCGCTTGTTTCTATCAGGTGACCCCTTTCATACGGTCAATGTCAGCCTCGTAACAAGCGCTTGTTCAATAACTACAATATTACCGGTGTAACTTACACCATCGGAACAATGCTATTGTGACTTACACACCTTTAATTCATTCAACTCCTTTGGCAACATGCATGTAGGTTAATAAGAAGTAGATTTTAGTCACTGTGCTTAAAGTTTGCCATTTGTTTTCATGATTTTAACACAACACTTAACTAACAAACTTTAAGGAAATTCAAATGTAAAATTTGTAGTAAATTTTGAAATACATTAATACCGTACTCGCTCGAATAAGCACCCCGTTAGAATAATCGCCCCTCTCGAATAAACTCCCCACGAAACGTGAAAATTTCCTTAAATGCCCCGTTTGAATATTAGTGCCCCCTCAATAAAATCATGTAATTTTTTTTTAGCAAGTCAATAATCCAATCAATCCTGGGACTGTGGATGTTGGCATCATTTGAGCTGCAGAGTGGAATCACATTCTCTTTAGGTCAATATCAAAATGAGGATATTTCTCTTAAACAGATGAGATCTCCCAGGACAGACAGTTATTTTTTTTCTTTTCTAACAATTTGCACCTTTAACACATTCTCATCTGAGTTTTCAAGAAAACCTGCAATGATCATGTCATCCTGCAAATCTCAATCGACCGATGGCCAACAAGCTAACCACCGCCACTAATTTCATCTGCTATTCTGTTATACTCACAACATTCTTGTCAAGACTTGGACGATTATCTTTCCGCCACACCACCATTCGTAATTTTTGGTTTTCCGATGTCCTTATATAATCATTTTTCATTAAAAAAGTACCTCTTTAATTTAATAAGTTCTCATAAGAACTCCTCGATTTTCATCTATTTCAATAAGCGCCCCACTCTGTTTTCATATGCACCATAAGCACCCCATTTGAATAAACGCCCCTCAAAAAGTACAAAAAAATATTTTAAGAGCTTGGGCGCTTATTTGCGCGAATACGGTAACGTTTTTTGCCTTTATGGTATTTGACTAATATTTTAGTATTTAATATTTGATCTTGTTTTGATTGAATTGTCACTATGATAATTAATATTTCTTCTCGTATTAATGACAGCCATAAAGAGACATTAATTTCAGTAATTTACAGTAACTTAGTTGCAGTTTATTTCCAGAATAGTGAAAACATTAATGAAAACAGAATATTTATTTTTACTACAAATATTTACATTTACAGTACATATTTTCATCAAAATAATGATTGTGAATGTATTGCTGTATAGCGCATAATGTGAATAATTATGCGCTTTACAGCAGGGAGTGAGATAAATTATTTAAATAGTTTCCTTAAATTTTGAATGGTTTAGCGTGTACCACATGTTTCATTTAATGCTAGGTTTACGGTATGTTCACAGTGGCCACGGCAGCCCTGTTTGCCTAAAATGTAGTGCGCCGTGGGATTTTGGCAATTTTTTCTCGGTTTCAAGTTTCCGTCTTGGCTTTTTCAGTGGCATAGCTTTGCCTTCTTTCACAGCTTGGTCTTCGTCGACTGCTTCTTCTTGTTTTATTTGTGGTGTTTTTCCTATTTATGCTTTCTGTACCACTACGGACCACCTCCAATTTTTTCAAGTTTTGTACAAAACAAGGTAAAAAGATAAAATATTAATATCTTATTAGCTTACATAAATTAAAGAATATGACTGTTTTCATTCAAATTATTATTATTAAAGGGAAGTATTTAATTGAAAGTAATTTTAAGCCCACTCAGAGAGGGCTTATGATGATTCTGAGCGAATTTTGAAGTAATTTGTTTTTCTATCTCTTCCTTCGTTTGTGACGCGATTAGGCCGATCTTGCAATAATATGGAAGATAAGGACTGGGGAATTTAAAGTATGAAGAGTTTTTGCGAAAATTTTGTAGCAATGTGTAGCATATATGTTTCTTAATCATATGCAGTTTAAATAAAATTAATCCGACAATTATTAACGTCACTGGAGGTCAAAAGGTCATCGACCTTTTTCTAAAATGCAATTTAGATTTGATACCAATTAGTATTTTCCATTATCAATAAGCATATGGAATATCAAAAATGATATTAACAAGAAAAATGTATAAATTGATTAAATGTATTACTGTCATTTTTTATTACTTGT